TTTATCTTTCTATAGTATACTTACTATACTCTTTGAAATCACGTTAATGACCTAAAGGTCTATGTTACCAGGTCAGAAAATTAAAAAAAAAAGAAATTACGTTAAAATCGGGCGAGTTGTTTCGGAGATTACAATAAAATTCTGTCATGTGACTACAGCTGCCATCTGTTGTTTAATTTAGATAACATAGCAACAAATACAAGATCTACAAACCCAGACAATATTTTTTTTTATTTCTTACCACATAAATAATATTTTTATAATATTCTCGATTTTTAAATGAGAGTACACCAAAAATATTCGTAACTAAAAAGAGCTCTCTTTGCTAGCACAACTTAATTACAGACGAGCGGTTCGCAAACTCAAAGCCGCTTAGTATTTTCAACTTTTTGTAACTAAATACAGTTCATCGTGGGTTTCCACTGCCAAAACATTCAAACAAAAAGAATGTATCGCTCTTAGAAAACACTGAAATTACGATAAGATTTAGTACCCTTTAAAAATCATTATTAAATATATGTCTCTGGTGCTCTAACTATTTTAATCCATAGATCTTAAGTTTGCTTCTTTTAAGGAACTCTTCAAAAATCCTAATCCTATTTTATAACATTAATATTTTTAATAAAGAGACGTCAGTAAAAGTTAACTTGGTTCGCACATTTTTCAGCCATAAATCTGTCAGAGGTTATGAAGTGCAGTGAACATAAAACTGCGCTGTGTGTCGCCGTACTAAATCTTCTTGAAACAGACTACGATAAAAATTTATTTTTATTTTGACATCAAACATAACCTCAAAATCTCTGACAAACGAAACAAGTTACAAAAGCAACAATATTTGATAAGTTTAGTAATTATGTCCGTATTTAAATCGTCTTGCTAATGTTATAAATGGATGGATGTTTGTTTCAAGGTATCTAGAACGGCTGTAATGATCTCGGTGAAGTTTGTTATAGATGTAGAATATAGTCTGGAAAAACACATAGGCTAAATGTTTTTTTTTAATACCGCGCGGACTGAGTCGCGGGCGACAGCTAGTTCCCTATAAATTATCTAATACCGAATATAATCCTTTGGCGATTAATTCAGGTTCATTATAGTATGAAATATTAAAGACCATTGTATTCTAACCTTAATCTCTCTGTAATATAGTGCTCAAGTGCAACGCCCATAAAACTGACAGCCGTTGTTAAAATACTTCATTCTCCGTTTATTAAATTTATTTAAGAATACGTTTTACTCTTAAATCCTTACTTTCTTGTCTTCTTAGTATTTTTTATTTATGGAATGAAATAAAAAATTTTGTTTTAGTAACCTTTCCTTTCCCAAATAAAAATAAACAACGCATTGGCATATGCGGATGTCTATGGGAAGCGTTCGTTCGCCATTTCACCGAATGCAGTTGGACACTTGCTTATTTGTCACCTTACAATATTAAAAAAAAAACTTTAATTTGTAGTCAGCTAAGGCACGACTTGTCTGACAATTTTCAACTTTAAAACGAGAAGTACTTTCTTATAAAAAAAAAATAGACTAGAATATATTAAAAATGTAAGCTTATTTTCAACATATAAATTGCTGTCAATTACGAAGCGATCATGCTGTGATAGACAAGTAATAGCTCGGGGCCGATAACTAGTTTAGCTAGCTCGTCGTCAGAGCACTAACATATTTTATATTGAACATATTTACAACTCACGACACGGTATCAACATGACACAAATCTTGTTAAATTCGTTTACTCACTAGATTTTGCCCCAGATTTCGTTCGCGAGGAATTAAAAAAAAATCAGTAGTCTATGCGCTATTTTAGACAGTAAACTAAGTCTGTAACAGTAAATTATATTTGATTTTTTACTTTTCGTTTAGTTTTTTCGGGAAAACGGATTTATCTGATTGAACGCGGTCCCAACTAGAATTGTTTCGGAACTCATAAAAACAAAATAAAGCAAAATTGTTTTGATTAAATTTTTTCTAAAGTCCTTGTACTTATCTATTAATAATAAAAAAACTAGTTATGAAAATAGCCTGTCATCCAGGTATAGTGTAGCTTCCTAACTGTAAAAGAACTTTTCAAATCGGTTCAATAGTCTCGGAGCCCATTCAATGGAAACAATCAAATCTTTCCTCTTTATAATATTAGTATAGACCCAGGACTTGAAATACATAAAAGGAAAATAACTCACTTATCTAAATAAAATGAAACAGTCAAATTTGATCTTATCCATATATTACCTAATTAATACACCACACCAAAATACACAAACAATTTCAATATTAAATTATTTATCATATGTTTTGAATAATGATAAAATCCCTCTCTTTCTAAACTGTAAGGTTTATTAAATGATTTAATTCTTCATACATCGGTTCACCTAAATTCGCCGAAATGGTGAAGTGATTACTGCCCATAGACATCCACAATTGCAGATGTAATTTTAATCGACGGAGAAGACTCACAGAAAGAGAATATTTCCTCATACTATACATCAAATCCACATCCAATCCTTTCCTTTTAAGAAAAGGGTGAGATGGGAAAGAGGACTAAAAGCAGGCCTCCGGAACTTCTTCATATAGTTAATTCAAGTCCAAAATACATCATTATTCTCTAACATGTAATGTTGAATTATAAATCCTAGTAAAAGAAAATGAAAAAACAAACAAATAACCAAGTATATTGTTTTGGGTTTTAAGAAAATAGCTGGACCGTTATGGATCCGCTTAGCAAGAGATAGGAATACTTGGAAATCTTTAGAGGAGGCCTTTGTCAATTGACAAGCTTTTCAATACAAACAAGTTGCCGATCATTTAAATACTAGTAGAATTGTTTAAATTAATTTAGTTTTTTAGTTAATAGGCATGTATAACTATCATAAATTGTAAAAATTGTAAAGCAATAAAGGCTATTTTATTTTATTTATTTTATTTTATTATTGTAACAGACAATAAATTAAAATTACAATATTAAATATATTTATTAAATTTTATTATAATTAAAATTGCTCAATGTAAGAACAATTTCATTTATACATCACCCTATATTTTATTATTTACTTCTTAGTCTCTTATAAGCATAATTACTACACCCTAAACACTAATAAACATGTACCATTCCATATATAAAGGTCCAGAATAATACATATGTAAATAATGCACCGAAAAATCCACTTGTCAGCAAACTCTGTCTTGATTTATAATATTTATTCCAATTTGAACCAGCTTTAATCATAAACATTAGCCATAAAATGACTACTGCAAATACATAAAAGGCAAAGCCATATAATCCTGTAAGTCCAAGGACACCTGAAAAAGAAAAAAGTGTGTCAAAAGGTGAAGAAACACTTTGAAAACATTGAATTGAATGATTTATATTATACCAGTACAGTAGGGCAGTAGCACTGGCTTAGCATGGACTGTTTTGTCTCACTGGATCCAGTTAGTGCTACATTATGACAGCGCTGTTATTGAGTACTACTGTCCAACTGAACTGGCATAGTGTAATCATATTACAGATATTACTCCTGTAGACTGGAAACTTTGGTTTGGATTTTAAAAATTTGTAGATATCAGGTACTATAAAGATAAATGTTTTTTTGTAAATGTTGGTAAAGCGCTGTGCTAGACATCTTCAGGTTATAATTGAAATATTGAACAAAGTTTTCTACCTGCAGTGGAACCCGATAACGCAGCCATTGAAGTTCTACAATATTCCACAACTGCCGCATTATTTCTGAGGGCTGCTTCGCTATATGCTATCGGTTCTGGTTTATTGTCTTTTGATTTAACAATTGCCGACATTTTAAAAGTTAATTTGTGTATTAAATAGCCACTTTAATATTAAAATCTATCGTAGATTGACAACTGACTTTTACTGACAGCTCTCAGGGTTGGTGACATTGACAGTCACAGATTAAGTTAATAATTGTGACTTTGATTTTCCTGCAACAGATGTTATTTTATCTTTAATATTCGCCAGGCAATATATTTGGACCTCGGATTTTGTTCATTTATTAGTTTTATTATTTTATCAATAGTTATTCACTGTTCAATGACCTGCATGCTTGTTTGCCTTCTTTTACTATGAAAACTATTTACAAATGATAAAAAGTAATCGAAAATATCGTTCTAAACAAATTACAATTCAATTTGGGCTGGATTTAGCCAGTCTTTTAAGACTTGTGTCGGGAGACATTACCGTATAACCTAAAATAAAATTTAGAAGGAAGTAGAGCCGATAAGTTATGCAAAATGCATGCCATTTTGATGCCGTTGCTTATACGAACATTTTACATATACTGTTTTTATTTACATTAATATTACGACCCGTCAACTCACACATTCAAATACGATTTGAGTTTGACACACTCACACATTCATAACATTCTGTGGTAATTTTTCGCGGCATCAAGCGTCGGTGAACTTATTTTCTATTGAATAATATAAATCAAGTTAAATAATTTACTGTTTTGTGTGTATACATTAATGTAAAGAAATAAAGCCGTCAAAAGTAACTTAAACAGAACTGTTTGTGTAAGTTTTTCGTCATTTTCTTGATTATAAAAATATGATGGCGCGTGGATGACACTTGCAGAGGGTTCCTATTCGGAACAAAATAGGACTTTGCTCAAATGATAATTTAACGTTGGTGATTTTGTGAATTGTTTAGGATCCTGTGTGTAGTAAGCGTTCTGAAATTGTTACTTTCAAGTTTATATGCCTTGTAACAAATTTGTTAAAATGAAAATTAAGTTTCCGATTCGGGACTTAGTAGCAAATTGCTTTTGCTCACCCGCTTGGTTGGTGTGCAACCATTATGATCGGAGGACATTGAAATAGCACAACGTCATGCTAACTTACGTATTTAAAATTAATTGTCATAAAAAGTCTGTAAAATATATGAATACGGTTCATTTTTCATGAATTATTCAATAACCTAGCTGACACAGGACACAACTTCATTTCGTTTCTTTTGTTTCAGCGGAAGGTTGTACAAAAATTTTACATTATTCAATTTAATTCGCTTACATTGACTTTATTTTTACTATTCTCTGGTTGACATTTATTTGGATTTAAAAAAACGCATCGAAAGTTTTATCGCCGATATTGTTGAATGAAATTACGTCAGTGCCCTAATTTAGATTCTAAATGATTTTTAACGGGTAGTGATGGACGAATCTGAGGATAATTTGAGTGCAGAGGATATAAAAGTTGATAATACAAGTTTTATTAAAATTAAATCTAAAAAGAAATCTCTTGTTGAGAGGGAATTGGAAACAAGTTTAACTGCAAGGGTGACTTCTCCTGTAACCAATTGGGACAATAGTAGCACAAGCCGTTATGGCAGAGCACGCAGGCTTAAATCGGAGTTAGATTCCAGTGACTCTGAAAGATCAGTTAAAGTTATAAAATCACCGAAGATTGATAGATCGCCAGTTCGAATACAGTCACCTGTTTATAAAATGCATGCATCGAATTCACCTTTAAGCATGGAAAAATCACAGCAAGGAGAAAATAAACTTGAAACTCAAATCGAGAATATTTATAGTGAAAATATATCACTAAGTCGTTTTGGATCGGAAGAAAAAAGAATTTTATCGCCTGCTAAAAAGTTTCCCAATGCCTACATGAGACAGGACTTGATACAAAGTAAGGAGAAGGAGAAAGAAGAGTCAATAACATTAATAAAAACTCTTTTCTCACCTGTAAATGTAAATAAACCATCAACCCATATTGGTGATGTCTTAGAAAGGTCTTCCGAGAAATATAGTTTAGGAACGAAGCACATTGATACATCATCGGTGGTGAAAACATTAGATTTTGATGGCAACAAGAAAAAGAAAAAGGAAATTATAGATAATAAAATTACTTTATCAAAGAGTGAGATATTTGACATGGAAGCGAAGTGTGAATATCAAGTTGGAGACTTGGCTTGGGCTAGAATGGGCACATATCCGTTCTGGCCTTGCATTGTCACTAGAGATCCCGCCAGTGGAACATTTATTAAGAAGAAATGTAAGTAAATAAACTTAATTAACAATTAACATAAAAGCAAAATCTATATAAGTTTTAAATAATTAGTAGCCTATATGTTCTTCCAGACTCTGTTATTTATGGAAGCCAAATTTCATCAAGATCCAGTCAGCTGTTCTGGAGATACCTTCAAACAAACATTGATCCATCCATCTAAACATTCGCTTTTATAATATTAGTAAGACTAGATAATTTAGAATCTATTAAAATTTTCTATTTTAAAACCAAAGACTAATATTAAATAATTTACAAATGCTATTTAAAAAAAAGTGGGAGCCTTCAAAAGTAGAAAGAATAGGCATTTATTAAGGACATATACCATTTTTCAATCACATCACCACTTAACATCAGGTGGGATGGTGGTCAAGCGCTAACTTATTTATTTTAAAAACAAAAACTACCAAAGTAATATTTATTTTAAATAATTTGTATTTTCCTACAAGCTACTTGTGAGTCAAGACATCTACGGGATTGTAAGTTAAAATATATTTAATTAAAATCTTATATTTAAGTCTGATAACCATAAATTTTAAAAATATACATTATAGTATAATATATGAAATTAGCGTTAGCTTCCACTGCAGAAATGTCAAAAAAACATATTGTTGCTTCTTTCAATAAATAGAATGAGATGGTTCAAAATAAGTATTTGTACTTTTAGGCATCAATATTTAGAATCATTTAGAGAGAATGGCGCACTTTCGTTACCAAGTCAAGTGTCAGATTGATAAGTGTGGGGACATAAACGTTGATATTTTATTATAATAATAATAATAAGACATGTAATCCGTTCAAAAACATTACAACACAATCAAAAAGAAAAATCAAAGAAATTACAATGAAGCATTGCAATGCAGAACAGATAGGGCCTTTTCTCAGCTGTATGTTTATAACCCCGGGGGGCAAAAACACTGATATTCTATTCTGCAAAAGCCTTTACGCCCTCAGTACGTCAGTTACAGCAATTAATAACATAAATTAAGTATTTTGAAAGGCGGGCCAATGATTCAAGGGAAATTTAATAAGGCTAGTGTTGCGCCAGTACACCGGCACAGTGTCGGTTTCTCTTCCTAACAGTACAAATGACTTAGGGTCCTTCAAGAATGTGTGGTTCTTCTAGTATTGCTTATGTCTATGGTCGTAGATAAACACTTTAGTGTTCCCACTGTTTGTGTGCCCCTATATCTTTAAAAAAATTAGGCTATGGAAACTAATGATGTTATATATTTTGACTAGTAATGTTGATTGCAATAATTCAATATATTTTTGTACTGTAATGTTATTAAAAATAAACATTTGATAAGTGGAATGTGTTCAATAAAATATTTAGGTAATGTTATATTAAAAAGTTTATCTTCTGTTTATAATCTTAATGAAAACATTGTATGTAAATTATGAAATAGTATGACATACTTTTAAAACTAAATGTATATCACTGTCTCCGTCTCTCAGCAGAGTCAAAAGCTTTGCTTATCCTTATTTCATCATCAGCTGATTATAGATCCCAACTGAGGACTGAGCCTAGCATAAGTAATGGGTGACTATGCTATAGTCAACCACAGTCTAGTGCGGGTCGACTTCACATATTTCTTTGAATTTCTCAGCATATGCAGATTGGGTCACAATGTTTTCTGTCACAACATTTAATGGTTTTACCAAAAAATAAAAATCCAACTTGATACCTTCACGCGTTTATGAGAAAAAGGGTCTTGACAGACATACGGACGACAAAGTGATCCTAAAAGGGTTCCGTTTTTTCCTTTGAGGTACGGAACCCTAAAAAATAACACTGTACAACTATGGTTGTCTTTAACTTAATAATTTAATTTTAAAAAAATAAATTAACAAATCAGTTAATATTGATTCTTTTATATTGACTTCATGTAATAGATAAGAGAAGTCGACTCCGAAACATAATTTAACTGGTTTAAAAGACAGAGCTATTAATTTTCAGAAAAAATTCTTTTTGTTCATTAATTTTTTTTTTTATAGTATTGGGTCGTTCGGAACGTGATATCCTACATGTTACATTCCTGGGTGACAATGGAAGACGTGGATGGATTATGCAGAATATGCTACGAAAATTTCTGGGACTACTAGAGTTTGAAACCACTAGAGAAAAATTTTCAGTAGAGGTAAAATTTATTTATATTATTTTACAGTTGTAAAAAGATGCAATATGATTATTTTAATATGAGATTCTTACTAAGTTAAGTATAGACAAGAGCATTCACTTGTAACAACCAGAGTTAGGGGTGACTAGGCCATAGTCAACCACACTGGCCAAGTGCGGGTTGACTTCACACATATCATTGAATTTCTTCTCAGATATGTGCAGGTTGCATTATGATGCTTTCCTTCACCGTATGAACGTCGGATAAATGTTCATATGTAAATAGAAAATGTGGAAATGGAAATGGAAAAACACATTGGTACATGGCGGGATTCGAACCCAGGACCTGCAGATTGCAAGTCAAGTGCCTAAACCCTTGAGCCACCGACGCTCTCTTTTACATAGAAATGCTCATGAGAATGCTCTAGTGTATTTTCTCCTTTAAATATCAAATACAGTTACTTACAAAAATATATATAAAGTATTTGTTTGTTAATCAGTTTGAAATTCATAGGAAAAGAAACGTGATCCAAGATTGTATGCAGCCTTCTTTATATCAGAAAAGAAGCAACCACAATGGGCTATATCAGTAGATGAAGCAGAAACATTACTACGGGAACCAAAAAGGCTAAGAATAGATATATTACGAGATATGCTAGGAAATGCTAAGCCTAATAAAGTTACTGGAAAAATAGAAAAAAGAGAAACAAGAACAAATAGTGATGTGTCATTAAGTGAGAGTTTGTATGATACGTTGTTTTCTGAAGATGATACAAAAATAAATGATAATGAACAATTTAAAAGAAAAACTAGAAACAAATCTTTAGATGTATCCGAAGTTGTTACTGCGTGTCTAGATAATATGGCCGCAAAAACTGGTATAACTAAAATTCAAAAGCAATCCCATATGGATAGATGGTTGCAGAAAGCAAAATCGAAGACACCAGAGAAATCTTTTTATAAAACACAAAGTAAAACAGATAAATCAACAAAATTTAAGTCTAATGAGAATTGGTCAAGACGATCTCTCAGCCTTAGAAGATCTAGAAAGGAATCTCATGATATAATTGAAGTTAAATTATTATCACATCAAAATGAACATGATTATAGTAAGAAAAATTATGATGAATTTACTAAACCTAACAATGATAAAGTAGATATAACCAAAGAAGTTAACAAACATCATCAAGGAACCATAAATGAATCATTACAAGAAGAAATGGTTAACGAATCTGTAAATAATCAAAACAATGACGATAATTTAGTACAAAAACAATTAATTGCGTCCAAAAATGACGCTGAGTTAATGCAAATAGATTTAAATCATAAAGTACAAGATAAAGAAACTAAAGGAAATGCTGAATTACAGCCTGATAATCTAGATCAAGTTATTTGTAATGGATTTGAAAATGTGTCATATCTAGACCGAAATAAAGACATCTTAGATACTACTGTTCTAGAAAAAGTTGAAACTCTAGATATTGAACATAGTGTAAACGAAATTGTGGATTCAAAAACGAATACTGATCAAGAGGCGCGAAATCTTGTTGGTGTAATTAATATAGAAAAAACACAAATTAATGAAAGTATAGAAATTAAAGAAAATCATGTTGAAATACAGGAATTAGACAACGACAAATCACAGAGGGTATCAAATAAGAATTTACTTGATTTTGTGGATTCCGATGACACAAAAGTGCATGAGAAAGTTATAAATTTGACGGAAAATTGTTTAGTTTTGACAAAATCAGACGGATGTCAATCCAACGATATAGAAATGGTCGCAGCAACAAACGACCCAGATAATTTTGATAACCATGACAACTTTACGGAATCAGACAATGATAGATTTAAAAGTGAATCCACTGACATAAAAATGGTTGAAGAAATTACAAATTTGCCAGATAATATTGAAAATCATGGAAATTTAATTGAATCAAACAATGAGAATTCAAAAAGCGTATTAGACGAGAATGCTTTGGAGTCTAATGACATAGAAATGATGGAGAGTATTGAAAATCAAAATTTAAATATAAATAATCCATCAACAAGTAATTGCGAGTCAATAGAGTCTAACAAATCTGATAAATTAACCGTAATAAAAAATATAGAGAATAATCAGATGTTAGAAAACCAAAAAATAGAATCAGAAGAGTGTGAGGAATATATGGATAGTACATCTTTAAAAGATGAACAAAGAGAAAATCAAATTTTAGAAAATCATGAAAAATTTAATACTGTAAATGTCAAATCAATTCGTTCAAACGATAATGAAGTTCCTAATTCCTTTTCGAGTGGTTACTCCAGTTCTATTCCTGATGAAAATGATGTTGACGATAATATACAAATTTTGAATGATACAGAAACTACTTCAAATATAAATGAAGGGAATTTGCCAAACTCTAAAACATTACACGAAATTAACACAGACAATTTCATTGATGAAGTAAAAAATATAGCGGAAAAAGAACATGAAGTAGATAAGAATATTTTTGAAGAGATAGATTCTAAGCTAAATCAAAAAATGACTTATAATAGTGACCAAATGATTTCCATAGTTTTTACTGAAGATAAAACTAATTCTGACAATCAATCAGCTAAAAGTTTAAATTCAGATGTTGAATCGATAACTTCTGAAAATACTGAAGAATTAAATTCCAAAAATTCTAAATCTGAACATGAAAAAGATAAAAATGAAACTCATATAGAGATGTTGCAAAAGGCTAATTGGAAAGTGAAAGCGGTTATTGACGATAATAAATCATTAAGAATGACATTAGACAGGACAGTTGAAAAGAAAACGAACAAATCTAAAAATGAATTAGAAGATCCTGAATTTTTAAAGTATTTAGAAATTAGACAGGACGCAGTGATGGATGAACATCCTGAACTAACACAAGACGAAATAACACGTTATCTGTACAAAACATGGCAATATGAGGAGAATTCTAAATCTGAAAGTAAAAAAACAGATGAAATGGAACAAGCTAATTTAGTTAAAGGTCTTAAAAAAGAAACAACACAACCTAAGAGAGTAAAAAAGAAAATTAAAGTAGACAAAGAGATAAACGACGAAGAGGATTTTATTCCTAAATCGAAATCGAAACGTAGAATTGCAAGACCGTGTTACAATGAAGATTTTAATGATAATTCAGATTTAGATATGGATGATGAAATACAATTATTTGATATTTTCAAAACTAAAAACAGACAATTCAAAGGGAAAAATAATGAAAATCCAATTGACACGCAAAATAATATTCCAAACGGAAATATAGAGGAATCTCGTAATGACGCAAACTTTTTAAGTGAAGATGATTTTGATCAAGTAGAAGAATATTTCAAACAACTCACAGAACCAAAGCCGAATATATTTAAAGGTCTTTTGAGAGAAAAACTTTGTGAAGTTTGCGAGAAAACTGGTAATCTAGTTAAATGCAAAGGCTGTCATTGTATGTTTCATGTTGAATGTACTAAAAAAGAGACGGAAGTTATTGACAAACAGTTACCTTCTAGAGGAAGAAAGAAGAAGAAGAGAAATAGAGGTAGAAAGCAGAAGGGTTTAGATGATTCTAACGGTTTAGATGGAGATAGCCAAAGTGATGAGAAATCACAAGAATTTAATGCATCAGAAGAGAATTCATTAGATGACCTTGAATCTCATATAATCGTAGATGCAAATAACTTTGAAGCACAATTAAGTGATAAAATGAAAGAAATTATCGACAAACAAAACGAATATTACTCGGATTCAAGTGAATATGCATTAGATTGGAGTGATACAGAAGTGGGTAAATGTAAAATAATCGATATTAAACTACCTACAAAAAATCGTAATTCCGATACAGATTATACAGATTTCAAATGTCATAATTGTTTACAATACGACAAACCTATTTGTTTCGTATGTAGGGCTGCCACATCACCGAAAGGTATAGAATACAGACAAAGATGTCAATTAGCACACTGTAATAAATATTACCATTTGGAATGTTTGGAACATTGGCCTCAGACGCAGTATCATTCTGGTGAAGTTCTAAGAAATAATAAAAATATTAAAGGTTTTTTTGAACCTGTCGTATGTCCGCGACATGTTTGTCATACGTGTGTAAGTGATGACCCTAGAGGTTGTAAGACTAGATTCAGTGGTGATAAACTCGCGCGTTGTGTCAGATGTCCTGCGACATATCATTCCTTCACCAAATGTCTTCCAGCTGGCTCTCAGATATTGTCAGCGTCGCATATTATTTGTCCAAGACATTATGAGCATAGGTGAGTCAATTTACATTAATACATGAAGCTTTGTATTTCATTAATCGTGGGTTTCTGATACTGAAATTTCCGTTGAAAACATATTGCCATCTCTGTTTTGTCAAACATGTTTTATACAGAGATTTTGGTCTCAGAAACCAACCTTAAAGAAAATTGCTCGAAGCGATGAAAGTAAAATTTTACATAAAATTAATAGAGATAAAGTGTATAAACCTATCTTAGTAATATTATTATTGTGAATGTTTAGATGGATGGATGGATGTTTGTTTGATATCTCTGGAACGGCTCAGATATAGCTGAAATTTGGCCTACATATATAACATAATCATGAAGAACACATGTGCTACTAATTATGTATTTTTTAAATTCCGCATGGACGGAGTCGCGGGCGACAGCTATTTATAAATTTAAAAAAAAACTATGAAATATGGTCAAATTTCGACAAATAGGCGACCAATATTATACAGTAAAATAATATTTTATATTATAGGCCCGGCAAAGTACCATGTCATGTTAACACTGGTTGGTGTTTCATCTGTGCGTTGGGTGGGTCGCTCATCTGCTGCGAGTACTGTCCCACATCATTCCACGCTGAGTGCCTTAATATTAAACCTCCTGAAGGTAATTATAAGGTACACAGACCGTGGTGGAATGCAGAGCTAGATTTTTGATGGCAAAGAAAATTATGCTTTATAGGATTGGAACAAGGTTTAATATTACTTTGCATGTCTTATGAAAAGTGAAATTAAGCCTTTAATCTTATAAAGCTATTTGAGAATAATATGCTTTGCTCTCTGCCTAGGTCTGTGTGAATGGTCCCTATCACATAATTATGTTAAGTAAAAAATCACATTTTCAAAATTTACTTGAACTTCAATATTGTAACTTAGTGCTACCTTATACGTCCCCACTTAGGGGCTCGGAGCCTACCTTAAGTTAAGATTGATTAGGCCATAGTCAACCACACTGGCCAAGTGCGGGTTGACTTCACTCATATCTTTGAATTTCTTCTCAGATATGTGCAGGTTGCATCACGATGTTTTCCTTCACCGTAAGAACGTCAGATAAATGTACATATGTAAATCGGAAATCGAAAAATACGATACGAAACCAAGACCTGCAGATCACAAGTCAAGTGCTTAAACCCCAGTGCCACCGAGGCTCTGTAATTTTGCCTTATAACTAATATATTATATTAAACTACATACATTTGTATTTTTTCCTGTTTGTATGTATGTATGTTATTTTCCAGGTGGATATATGTGTGAAGATTGTGAAACAGGATGCTTACCATTGTATGGAGAAATGGTGTGGGTCAAATTAGGTCATTATAGGTGAGTTTCTAGTTTAAAATATAATAATACAACTCTGTCTTAATCAGGAAGAATCCTTAACCTATTACTTACATTCTCATCCACAAAGAAATCTTATTTACTGCGGGTTTATTATTACGGTTATTTACTCAGGAACAAATATAGTGATCTTTTTCATATTTCACAAAACAGATATAATATATTTTAAACAGAGATTAAGTAATCAGTTTTTCATGAACATGTGGTTTTTATAACAGATGGTGGCCTGGAATAATCCTGCATCCGTCAGAGATCCCTCCTAACATCTTAGCAGTGAAGCACTCTCCCGGTGAATTTGTGGTCAGGTTTTTTGGTCAGTACGATCACTACTGGGTCAATAGAGGACGAGTGTTTCCCTTCCAAGAAGGTAAGTGAATGGATAATTGTATAGATATGATGGATGGATGGATGTTTGTTAGGAGATATCTCCAGAACGGTTGCATGGATCCCAATGAAGTTTGATATAGATGTAGAACATACTCCGGAAGTACACATATGCTATATTAAAAAAAATCCGCGGACGGAGTCTCGGGTTAAAGCTAGTATGTAAATTTGAGATATTATAACATTATAGTTATGTAAAAAAATATGTCCATAGACATTTTTTTCTGTCATTTTTTGTTTTTTACATACATGAAGCTAATTTAAATTTATTATTAACTAGCTGTCGCCTGCAACTCCGTCCGCGTGGATATAGAGATATCTTTAAACACCCATCCATCCATCCACATCACATCCATCTAAACATTCGCTTTTATAATATTAGTAAGTTAAATAAAAAGCAGCTCTTCAAGGCATAAATTCGAAAAAAAGAATAAATAGTATCCTATGTCCGTCTCCTGGCTCTAAGCTACCTCCTCACCAATTTTCAGGCATATCGGTAAAGCCGTTCTTGAGTTATAAATAGTGTAACTAACACGACTTTTTTATATATTATATAATTTGCAGGTGATACAGGCAAAGTGTCAAATCAGAAATCAAAGATAGACGCAGCATTCAATATGGCGATGGAGCACGCGCAAAGAGCTTGCGAGATACTAAAGAGTAAGTTATTACTATTTACTTAAATGTACTTCGTCAAATCAAGTATACTTATGGGAAGAGAAGTGACCACACAGAAGAGACGTCAAGTAGAAACAATTGTGTGTACAGTCTGATGATTGTGCATGCCGGAGGACTCTTTTTAGACCTGTTTCCCTTCCCTACCTTTTCCTACAAGGAAAGGATTGGAAGGGAGGGTACTCAGTAGGGACTATATACTCTTCTTTTATAGGGTATAATTAAAGAGTATATTTAGAGTTATAAGGAAGAGATGAGAAGGGAATGTGGATTTGGCAGAGGAGGGAACGCATAGAAGGGGATATATTCTGTTTCTGTTTGTCCCCTCCGCTGTCGATTAAGGGTAGGCAATGCATCTGTAATTGTAGATGTCTATGGCCATATACTTATTTGTTTATGGTAATAATTTTTTTATTATTATTCAGAAGTATCACCAGATGAAGAAGAGACCCCAGACTTCGCATCTTCTCTCCTGCCGCCGCACTACGTGAAGCTGAAGGTGAACAAGCCGTGCGGCTCGCTGTGCGGGAAGAGGATAGATGTAGAGGAGAGCTCGCTCACACAGTGCGAGTGTAATCCTGATGAAGAAGATCCTTGTGGACCTTACTCACAGTGCCTTAATAGGTGAGTTAAACACATATAAAATGTTTGAAAAAAAAAATTGTGGGCAAGACAGGTTAAATGAATAGAGAAGAAAATTTACCAACTGTTGCCTGTGACTCCGTCCGCACGGAATCAAAAAAATCTATGTAAGTAGTCTATGTGTTCTTCCAGGCTATGTTCAACGTCTGTGTCAAATTTCAGCAAGATTTGTCAAACCCTTTTGGAGATACCTTCTTACAGACATCTATCCATCTAAACATTCTCAAATATTATTATAATAAAGATTGTGAAGAATTTAAATCTATATACAGCTTGTCCTCATCAAAGTTACAATTATTGTTTTTCTGTTTGTCTGTATGTCCTGGCTTTGTTTGTTCCGGATAATCTCCGGAACGGCTGGTCCGATTTTGACGGCGCTTTGACGGGCACGTTATAGGCTACTTATTTAAAATCCTTGTTATACTTTTAAATATCTTTATGTTGGGATAAAATAATATGTTATTTCTCAGGATGCTGCTAACAGAGTGTGGTCCAACTTGTCGCGCGGGGGAGAGATGTAATAACCGTGCCTTTGAGAAGCGTCTCTACCCCAAACTGGTGCCTTACCGCACCCCACAGAGGGGATGGGGGTTGAAGACTTTAGAGGATATTAAAGCAGGTAATTACAGTATCAACTTTTAATATAACATCGGTTATAACGACTAATCGGTTATTCTGACCAAAATCACGGTTGAGCGCTTAAACTATGCAATTTCTTCTTTTAGTTATAGTAAGATGAATTTATCTGGCGCGACAGAACTAAGATATTATTTATCTGCTTAACGAATTAGTTAAATTTAACGCACTAACCGTTGGTAGGAGACCAAAATTTCTGCATGAAACATATCGTCATCTATGTCATTATCTTTGACAAGATAGATAAAAATATTTTAATCTGGGATTTTGGTCTCGGAAACCCACAGTAAACTATAGATTTAGTATATGAGAAATCACAATCAAGGCAAGACAGATCTGATAAGAATCTTGTAGCACTTTAGCATTGATAGAGGGCGCTACTGTACTGTAGTTCCAGTTTTGCCCACTAGAGGGAATTTGTCGCAGTTTAAAAATACTAAAAATATTGTTTTCAGGCCAATTCGTAATAGAGTACGTAGGAGAATTAATAGACGAAGAAGAGTTTAAGAGAAGAATGCAGAGAAAATATGAGATACGAGATGAGAACTATTACTTTTTAACTCTAGATAAAGAGAGAATGATTGATGCTGGACCTAAAGGGAATCTGGCTAGGTAAGTAACGCACCCAGAGTTAATTGTTCGCTACGGGTTGATTTTGCATGGGACAATTAGTAAATTGGTGATGAGGACATTGTCATATTGACTACTAGCAGTTGCCCGCAACTTCGTCGGCGAGGAATTAATGATAATTTACTAATATTATAAATTCAAATGTCTGGATGGATGGATGGATGTTTGTTTGCTAGAAGGTATCTCCAGAACGGCTGTATGTATCTCGCTTAAATTTAGCACGGATGTAAAACATAGTGAGGAAAAACACATAGGCTTTTTAAGTTTTTTTTTTTAATTTAATGCGGACGGAGTCGCGGGCCACAGCTAGTAAAAAAAAATTAAAAACGCAAAAATATTCGTTTTATATGTTGTGTTATTACCTAGAATATTATGAACATTTTTTTATTTTCTTTTTTTTATTAAAACAATATTATATTTTGTCTATTCCAGATTTATGAATCATTGCTGCGAACCAAACTGTGAGACTCAGAAATGGACGGTACTGGGTGATGTCAGAGTTGGACTGTTTGCTATGAGAGATATACCAGCTGTACGTATCATCATCATCAGCTCATACATCCCCATTAGGCTTAGAGCCTACTCTAAGTTAATGACTAGGTCATAGTCAAAGCTGACCCAGTGTGGTTTGACTTAACACATATCTTTGAACTTCTTCACAGATATGTGCATCACGATGTTTTCCTTCACCGTAAGAACATAGGATAAATGTACATATGTAAATAGAAAAATACATTGGTATATGGCGGGATTCGAACCCAAGACCTGTAGGTTACAAGTCAACTACTTAACCCCTGACACACTGACGCTTGATGTTTATATCTTACTAATATTATAAACTAGATGTGGCCCGCGACTTCGACCGTACGGGATTTAAAAAAAAATAAATAATTAGCCTATGTGTTTGTGCAGACTATGTTCTACATTTGTGCCATATCTCATCAAGATCTAGTGAGTCGTTTTGTAGATACCTTCAAACAAACATCCATCCATCCATTTAAACAAAACGCATTTATAATATTAGTAAGATGTGAATGTTTAGATGGATTTTTGTTGGAAGGTATCTAAAGAACGGCTGAATGGATCACGATGAAAATTGGCATACATATAGAACTTGAACTTGAAGAACACATAGGCTACTAATATTTTTTTTTATTTAGGGCGAATGGAGTCGCGTGTGATAGCTAGTTATTAAAATGTTTTTTTTTTTACAGAATAGTGAAGTGACTTTCAATTATAATTTACAATGCGCGGGAATTGAGAAGAAACAATGTCTTTGCGGAGCTAAAAGATGTTCAGGTTACATTGGAGCTAAACCTAAACAGGTTAGTTTACTTAGTTTTTTTTTTAGTTTAGTTGTAATTTGAAATAAATTTTCTATCTAAGGTTTCACTGAAAGCTCTTGATGCTAAATGGCGATCATTTTGGTGTGCTTTTTGGTTACTTTGTCCTCCAGCTTTTGAGTTGGCACGTCGATAACAAGGGTACCCATATGATCTATGTGCCAACTTATGTACATGTGATTGTAAAACATAATCTTACATAGTTTGAATTATTATTAGTACAAGGAAATTGTAACTTTATAATGTTGATGTAAATACCTTAAAATATTGAAATTTTATTTTTTTTATTTTGGAGAGTTTTTTATATGAATGTTTCGACAGACACCATGATATATTTCCGAAATGAGAAATTTTTAATTTTTTTTTTCTTTTGGAGATCAATATAAGTGTAAAATATTTATATTTATATGTTAAAAATATTAATTCCGACATATCTATAAACTTTCAGAGTGAACAACCAAAGAAGAAAAAGGACGTAACAAAACGTACATATAAAAAACGAAAAGTGGAATATTCTCCCACAGTTCGTCCGAAGCCTGTCAAACGACAGACATCTCGCTCTAACCCAAAGGAACTGACAGAGATAGAGAAAGATTTGCTCATAATAAAGCTGGCTACAAGCGGAATGTCAAGCGATTCAGATTGTAGTGGAAGATTTAGTGTAGATAGTGCGAAAGAGACGAAAGCTATGAAAAGAAAAAGAGATAGAATATCACCAGAAGATTTGTACAATGGATTATCTCCTAATAATAAAAGATTTAAGGAAGACGATTGATTTATAATTTGCAAAGAAAATGTGAATCAAACTAATTTTCATCGATTATTGGATGAAATTGTGTTCAAATTATGTAAAATAAATACCACAATATTTAGAATAATTGCTAAATATTATAGTAATTATTCGAATTTTTAACACTTTTCATGCCAAGATATATTGATATGAAAGTCAACATCATTGAATGTGTTAAATGGTATTTAAACACTGACCTCTATAAATAGACTGGCTATAAGACGTAGAATTTTGTGCCTATTTGATCTTCGCCATTTTGGCGCTGATAGAGTTGTTGCGGTGGTTTGAATAGGAACTAATAATATAGATAGAAAACTGTCAGGTAAACAGAGAGAAGCAAAATAATTTCCAATCGCCTATCCATTTATAAGTCAGTGGATTTAAGTTTTTTTTTATATACAAAGGGATAATAGTGATGAAAAATCAATATTGAAGTTTTATCGATATCGACAATTTTTTTTCGAAAATATTTGAAGGAATAAAATAGTGATGTGACTTAAAATATCGATAAATCTATTGGAACTTTAAAAATGCAAATATTTGTCTGTTTTTTATCGAATATAGTTGAGTGCATTATTTTTTTTGTTTATTGTAATTAAATATTTTTAAGATGTTCGTTTTTTAGTTTTATGTTATATAAAAAAAATGTAAATTGAAATGAATTTTCCTGCAATAAAAACCAATATCTATCTATATTATGTAGTTTTATTTATATATTTTAATTAAAATAAAATATTTCAACAAAGTTGTTTGTAGTTTTTCATTTTAAAAATAAATGGCGCTGATTCCAAAAAATACTTTATTTCTAAAAATTTAAATTAACGTTTAATTTTCTTAACAATATAAAAAATAAGTATTTTTTTACAATTATTGAATGAATTACTTTATACAAAATCATTACCAAAGCTCTAAAACATGAAAATCTAATATTTGGGCTTACTTAGGTACTTATAAAATGTTAAACGGAATTTTCAATTTTATGCTCATAGTTATAAGGATGAATATACATTTTTCTTATGTCACCTAAAAGAAATATTCTTTATTAAGATCTAATTGCGATATTATATCAATTTTATTAATTTTTAGGGTTCGTACATCATAGGAAAAAAACGGAACCCTTATATCACTTTGTTGTCCATCCGTCTGTCTGTCAAGGCCCTTTTTTCTAAAAACCCGTGAAGGTATCAAGCTGGAATCTATTTTCTTTTATTGAATACACGTCTTTTATGCCAACACCATAAAGTAGTAGTATATTTATTTAAAAAAAAAGTATTCCATTTTTAAATTTGAAAAGTGTCACATCTCTATTAGTTAAACTTTCAAAAAGCTCTCGAACTTACACGAGCTTCCCGCAGACAAATTAACATTAAAAAGTTTCATGGTTACGTAATTCAAGAACTTTGATGTTAATACTTGAAGAAAATAACATTGTTAATGGCACGTGTAAACTGAGACAAATAAAAATATTGAGCAGATCTCAAAATGATCTGTCTGAGTTATTTAAAAAAAACTTTATAAGTAGCCTATGTGTTCTATAAGACTATGTTCTATATCTATGTCAAATTTCAGCGAGATCTATTGAACCGTTCCGGAGATACATACAAACAAACATCCATACAACTAAACATTCGCATATATAATATTAGTAAGAAATAAGATAGAGGTTAAAATGAAGTGTAACTTGGCTTAACGTTAAGATTTTTAACTCCAGAACGGCTACATGGTTATCACTGAAATTTGGCATAGATGTAGAACATAGCCTAGAAAGAATATGCGCGGGGACGGTGTCGTGGGCGACAGCTAGTTATTCTATAAATTCTCCCAAGACAAGGTTTCACTACGTTTTTTTTTTCTCTCTACGTAATAGTCTTAAAAGACAAGAGTTGTTTTCTGTATTCACAGAAACTCGCTTGCCAGCATGTAAGTTACGGTCCGTCCTAAGAAACTTTTAACCCGCAATAAATAAACATTTAAGTCGTAATATTTCACTGCTGTTGTACCCTTACATGCTTTGATATACATAGATGTATAAACACTAGAATATACAGAAGACAGGCGTGATAAAAATTCAGCAATTTTTCTTAGCAATGATACTATGAAATAATTCTGGAAACTCTCCATTTCTCTTTCTTCCCTAATTAAATCTCAATAAATATATTGTAATTTGTTTAGCTGTAGCTCGCGAGTAGCGTAGCCTAGTCTGTGTGTTTCTATATCCACACCATCTACCGCGATCCGTTTCAATGTAATGGAGAAACCTAATATCAAATCTCCATCTAAACATTCGCATTTATGTATAATATTAGTAAGATAAATGTAAATGTAATTTTGTGATCTATAACTTACTTAAAACAAAGAAAAATCGTTAAAGTTTTTATTTAAATATTCAAAACGAATCAGATGCCTCATCTAGTAAAATTTATATATCCATGTAGCAACGTTCCAGTCGGTTGAGATCGTAAAGGAATCGACGAGGCGTGGCTACGAGACACGTGAAGTTGAGAATTGATTATATAAAAAAATATATATTTGTAAATTACTTAACACCCTGTATTTTAAAAGCTAATAGAATATTAATACTTCGACGAAATACATACTGATAAAATAATTATTTTTAATGCGTCAATAGCCTAATGGTTAAGGGTACGGATTTCCGATCACGAGGTCGGGGGTTCGAATCCCGCCATTCGACTATTGTAAACCATATCCTAGCACAAGCTTAGAGCTTAGTTGGAATGGTTAAAGAAATATTAGTAAATTTATTAAAAAATCTGCTAATATTTTTCTATAAAAAAAATATAAAAAGACAAATTTCTTCTCTCATACTATGTATGTGTTCTTTTTTATACGATAAGGTGACAAACTTACGAGTGGCCACCTGAAATCGCTGATATAGCAAAGCGACCGTTGCCCATAGACATACGCAATTGCATGTTGTCTACCTTTAATCGACGGAGGAGAGGATGCACAGAAAGAGAATATTTTCCCTTCCCACGCACCTTTTCATCCAGGAAAATCTTTCACTTCCCATCCTTTTCTTAAAATAAAAAGGATAGGAAGGTAAAAAGGACTAAAATTAAGAGTTCAGTTGTTTGTCGTTCCAGTACTTTTTAAGCGATCACTCTATTTCTTCCTAGACCTACCTCTACCGCGGTACCCGTCTATATCTTTAGCTAGGTATTAAGATATAAGTTAAATTAATAATATAGCATTTATTTTTCACGTTTGTTTTATTTCAATGAATTAAAAACGAAGCCAAACGAAATTAGAAAAGTTGTAGCGCACGAAACCTTACTCGGCTTATCAAAATTTAATTTGATTGTTCAACTCATTTTAAACCATAAAACTCTAAAACTCAGTTAAACCATAAATTAATAAATATAATGAAATCTAGTAATTGCAATTTATTCTTGGAATATTTTTTTAACAATAAAATTAAAGTCAACGAAATTGAAATAATAACATTTTTTAATCTTTGGCCATTTTTGTGTTATTTTTATAACAAGAGGTCACCTAAATACAGTAAAAGCATTCTGAACTTTTTATTACGTATATTACGCATATGGCCAACCTGACCATAAATACGTAGAGTAAAAAAAATAGCTAGGAATAATTGTTAATTTATGATTTCAAATCAATTGCTGTTCTTAAGTCTCGCTTAAACTCGAGAACGGTTGAATGGAGTTATCTTATCTTGATCTTGAAATGTTCTTGCAAGTCTAGGGAAGGTTTAAAAGGTGAGAAAAATTGTCGGGAACTAATTAAGTTTTTTTTTCATTCCATGCGGACGGAGTCGCGGGCGACAGCCAGTAGTATAATAATTTTGTACAGAACTGTGCTGTTTTATTTAAAATTCCAAGAAGTTTGAATACCCTTTGCGGTCTACCAATAGGTAGACCGCAAAGGGTTTAATCTAGTCGGTCACTCTACGTATATGACTTTATAGCTTTCATCGCCGCATCGCATTTATTTAACCTGTAAATTTGAAAAACACTTATAATAATGAGAAGAACAAGGTAATAATGTAAATTAATAGACCGCTTCCAGGCGGATAGAGAAAGTTTCGAACAAATTTGTCATGATTAGAGACTGCTTTAGGCAACGATTAATCAAGTTTTATTCAATCACTAGCTTTTGTGTTTCTAGTATAAATCGGTTATTAATTTATAAAAATAATCTTTTATTATAATAAGTTATTAAAAAAAAGTTAGCTAGAAATAAAAAAAGTTTAATAATAGCCTATTTGTTATTGCAGACTACGTTTTTTTATAACAGAAGGGGGCAAACGAGCAGCGGGAACACCGAGGTGTTCAACGACGCCCATGGACATCAGCAATACCTGAGGAACCGTAGATGCGTTGCCGGCCTTTGAGATGGTGATAAGCTCGCGTTCTACATAACATTCGTATTTATATATGATATTAAATAAAACAATCTAAGTAGTTTATTTGTTCTTCCAAACTATGTTCTACATCTATGCCACATCAGCGAGATTCATACAGTCGGTCTGGAGATACCTTCTAACAAATAAACTGAATGATTCTTAAGTAATTCATCATCATCATCATCAGCTCACTGCATGTCCCCACCGAGGGGCTCGGAGCCTACCCTAAGTTAAGGGTGATTAGGCCATAGTCAACCACGCTGGCCAAGTGCGGGTTGGTTGACTTCACACATATCTTTGAATTTCTTCTCAGATATGTGCAGGTTGCATCACGATGTTTTCCTTCACCGTAAGAACGTCGGATAAATGGACATATGTAAATCGGAAATCGAAAAACACATTGGTACATGGCGGGATTCGAACCCAGGACCTGCAGATTGCAAGTCAAGTGCTTGACCACTGAGCCACCGACGCTCTCTTAAGTAATTACTTGTTATTAAATATTTTACTGTGTAAATAAAGTTTATATGAATAAAGTAAGTTGGTCTTTTACAACTAAAAGAGTTTTTAAACCACAAAGGTTTTATAACGATGTAAAACTTCGTACAGAGACCTACATTTCATTTTATTGTCTGACTTAATGGCTCTAATTGTGCTTGGAACATTTTTATACAGAATCTGGGAATGCATTTGCAATTTTCAGTTTTCTAGTACTGATTTAGGTTTCTTTTTTGTTACAGATTTTAATTAAATGTATCGTACATATACAAGAAATCAAAACATAAAGGGATGGTAAAAATGAATTTAAAAAGAAAATTCTTAGTATGGGAAACTGGCCACTTATACTTTGCCTTAAAACGATTATTAACAAGCAAAAAATATTCCAAATTCAAAATATATCTCTGTCCCAAAGCTCTAAATTAAAATATCTTGTCTGTTTGAAAAATGAATTTACGACGATGATATTTTTCACAATTTCAAATGCCATCTAAAACCGAAATTAATCGTTTTATAGATTT